TTGGTTGGCTCGTATAGCCTGACATAAGGTGTGTAAGGTATAGTGGGTACTCATGACCTCTTTGGCAGTAAACGCGCGTCAGGGGCCAAAACGTTGTTCCGATGATGACCAGACAAATCGGACCGGTTCCGGTGGGCCTGTTTTTTATTATTATTAATTTTTTCCATCCAACTGTGCTACATAACCTTAGTGCTTACGGGTACAACATCGGACATCAGCGAGGTGTCCGACACCGTCTTATTGAACCCAGTCTGCCCGGACAGAACACCAGACAAAGAGCCCGAGTTGCGATGCAAGTCACACGTAAGCCACATGTACCGTACACACACAAGTGCCGGGTAGAGATCTGTCCAGCGTTTTTCATACCAACAAGTGAATGCTGGGCGCCTATCTTCTGTTGCCTCAACCATTCGTTCTATCGCGAACATGATCACCTATCCAATAGTCTATTATATTAATTATTCATATCTTTTTACATCTTTCCCTCGAGTGGGCCTATTGTTATTAGGCAATTGTCTGTGATAGTCACCAGTATAAATAAATAAAATCCTATCCTATCCTATTGCCCTGCACACGCCACATGATGACTCACACCCATGTACACTCAGTTTACACAGTGTAGAGTATGAGCCTCTAGATTCAAAAAAGGGGGCTTATGTCATTTTGGAGCGTTTTGAGTTGTCTATACCATGACACTGCTGTACACAAGCAGATCACTCTGTAAAAAACCTAGGTCCAAAATCTTGATCTTTCACTGAGTTATGGGTGTTTCCATGGGCATTTCGCCAAACGACATACGCCCCCTTTTCGGATCTAGAGGCGCATATGTACATTCACGGCACCCTACACAACCAAACAGAGCAAGGCGACGTACCCCACTGGCGGTTACAACAGCTCGGTTCTCAGATCCGGGCTTGACACCTGCAGACGTAAACGAGAGGTTGCAGGACATGTCATTGAAAACAGAAGCTCAACGTTTTCCACATTCATGCTAGGGTGTCTCTCACATGCAGATGTGTGTAGACCTCTGGAGGTTATGCAATGATGTCAGAATTCAAAATGCTTCGTATGGAAGCAATATAAAGGAATACAGTGAACAAACGTTTCAGAGACAGTAGCTTTAATACAGCAACATGGAGGACTAATTTCGCTGTAAGCATTTCCTATTTGTCGACACGCATAAGTAACGTGAAAGAAGGACTACAGTAAAACCTGGTGTAAGCGACCTCTGGGTTTAGCGACCACCTGCTCTTAACAACCGTTTTTCCACGCACAGACAGTTCTACACAGACCCCGTGGGACCTGGTTCTAAAGACCACCTGGCTTTAACGACCGCTGTTGCTTGCACCGTGGGGTGGTTGCTTAAACCAGGTCTTACTGTGTAAGGCATGCAACGAGAAAGAAGTAAAGGATTTGTTAAGAACTGTTTTCTTGTTACGGCCATCAGTGAATCTACGTAACAAAGGAAGGGGACTACTTGAAGCAACTCTTACATGGACAGATAAAAATGACATAAAAGGGAAAGGGGGAAACATAAAAGTGTGACACACACATAAACACATGCACACAAACACATGCACACACACACACACACACACACACACACACACACACACACACACACACACACACACACACACATACATATGCACACACACACTTGTACACACACGCATACACAAATGTGCGCGGGGCGATCTCACCACATCATGACTTACCCAGTTGCCATGATGCCATCGGTGGCTGGGCAGCTATCTGTGCCTTGATGGAATCAAAGCCGTTCCGCACTGCCAGATCAGCAGCTGTACACATGCACGCAACATACAATGACAGCTAGAATAGGGACAAGTATCGGGGGTTAGGTGAGCCTGCAATTTGCTTTGGCCGCATACTTGCAGCGATGCACAGGACTATACAACCAGTAGTACCAGCCCAGGCACAAAATAGGTTTATACCTTGTGTGGAGTGGCCAAACTGTGGTCCCAAGGCCACTGGTCTGCCACTCAATTGCAAAAGTAATCACTTGTTTACCAAATTGCCAATTAAAATAGAAGAAATCACATGGAAACAAGTTATGAAGCAACTATCCACGACTGTAACACGATAACAAGCAGTCAGAAAGTGCGATAACAGGGCACAGAAATGACATGTTACTGAGAGGTGTGAGAGCTAGGTCTCAGGTCGTTGAATGTCTCAGTAACATGTCAATTTTGTACCCTGTTATCACACTTTCTGACTGCTTATTATTTTGTCACAGTCGTGGATAGTTGCTTCATAACTCGCTTCCATGTGATTTCTTCTATTTTGTAATTATATCTATTGGCTCAGTATCCAAGTTAAATTGCCAATTACTATTTTACTATAATATAGTAAAATAGTAATTGGCAATTTATTATGATGATGTCATTTGCAAACCCTCTATATGGACTTGCAAGTTGGTACTGTACCTGTACACCGTACTGCAAAAAGCCGGAGTCATGTATAGCGCATGCGTAGCATGTATGTATAGCTCAAAGGGTGGTGTCATCGCAGAAAATTTACAGCACCCCCCCCCATCCCTTCCTTAAAAGAGAGAACATATAGCAGCAGTATTCAAGTGTCTCAACACTTAACGTTTAAAAAAAAGCAAAGCATGTACTGACTGTATAAAGTCAACAAATATTCGGCGCATATATATTTTCGGCTATTTTCGGCTATTTTCGGCCTGGTCTTGTTTCGCCGAAATTTTGTTTTGCAAGGTTCAGTGTGAAAGTGTATACAGGCAGCAGCAGTACAGGCCGAACATTTGATGCGGCCGAACAGGGTTCTAGCCCTGGGAGGCCGAAATTTGAAAGGGCCGAAAATTTGTAGATTTGCTCGGTCTCACCAGTGTTCTGCGAGGAGTCCACCAGGTCAGTCTTCGCACCGTGGCGCAGTAGAAGATCAACAATTTTCGTGAAGCCCTTCTCACTTGCCAGCATCAACGGGGTTCTAAGAACGAGGCCATGTAAAACACACATGTGCACAACCACACACACACACACGCGCACACACACACACACACACACACACACACACACGTACACACGCACACCCACACATCCGCACACACATCCGCACACACCCCCGCAAACACACCCGCACACACCCACCCCCACACACACACAAATAATTATGGTGTTATCATTTTGATGACAACCGGTCTTGGCAATACTTCTTTCACCGAGGTATACACCACTCTCCATGTGCACGCTACACTGTATCACCATTCTGACCATTGGTCCCGTGTGGCACAACGTACTGATGATGAATCACCACAGACTGCGTGCATTGTCAGACTAGACAGTCTTGCAACCTGCCCTGCTGCAGACACACACGATACATCACATAGCAGAAGGTACAATGAAAACCATACCGGTTGTCGTCGTTGGTGGAGTTAACGTCGGCGCCACTATCAAGAAGAATCTGAGCAACTGGAGCTCCGTCGGTGGCGCATGCGTACAGAAGAGGTGTTAGACCATTCTGCAAACACAGACACACAGGCAGGTTAGTGGTGAGGCTTCCTGCAGCTTAATTCATAGGAAGAGAGTTTTTAGAGCAGACCCGCTCTTTTCAATTCGCTCTGCAACAATATCGAACTCTTTTCTCAACCAACTATTACAACGTTTGGCAAAATTACACAGACAGGTTAGACATACACACACATGCAAGCATGTACACATGCATACACCAGAACAGACATTGCCTGGAGTGGATGGCATGCGGCCGGCGTAATTGACTGCATTTTCCAGGGGGGGGGGGGGGTCTAACGCTAGTAAGCACGCAGTTTGCTAGAGCCAAGAACCTACTAATGCAGGAAACTCGGGGAAATAGAGAGGTCGCTGGGCTTTATCATCTATTTTATCAAAGTGAATGTTGTAGGATAAGTAAAAAAGGAGCGGGTTAGTGGGGACAAGAAAACTGTCTGATATCTAGTCTCACCACGAAACAATGTTGAAAAAACGGATTGTGATTTTCAGTGCGAGGAAGGAGCAAAAAACACAAAAAACAGAAAAGATATTTGCATCACAGCAGTACTACTGACGTAATGTGGGAGTGTGATGATGCAACGCATGTGACCAATTTGTGTGCCAAGTACACTAGCTCACTGATCCCGCTCGTTCCTCATTCTTCCTTCCATTTGGCCTAAGCGAAAACTAGCCAAGCTTGCTTGGTGATGTCAATGCGAAAAAAGGCTGGTAATAATACACTAGCAGCACCCTTGCAACACCTACCTCATCCTGCTGAGAGACTGGACACTCCCGCTCGAGCAGGTACTTGACAACACTGAGATGATGGCCGTATGCTGGGCAAAGACAAAAGTGCAAGAGTTCACACAGGGACGAGATTTGATTGCCATATACAGCGTTTCATTTTGAAATGGGAACAATTGGAGATGAACTAGTATTAGCCAACACGAGAACGCCGTGCCCTAGACAACTGCTTACCACACTCTGGTCGGGAGAGATACATACTGATGGAACATTGGCTATACCATTGCACACATCCATTCCCTGTTCGCAGTGCTTGCACGCTGCCACTGCATAGCCTCTCGAACCTACTCGTACTGGATGACTCGGCAATGCTGTGTTGATATCACCAACGCAGCTCATGTAGCGCCTACACACCCATTGTTGTTTTTTGTTTGTTTTGTCTTCGTTTTGTTTCCCCTTCTTCCGTAGGTATGTGCAATGTGATAAAATAAGAAAAATAAAAAATAACGTCATTGGTGATTACCTGCATAGTGAAGTGGTGCCATGCCCATTCCATCAACCTCACACAGTAGATCTGCAGATGTATGACCCTGCACAAGTAACAGAAGAGATCGATGGCCCTTTTAAAATTGACCAAGAACCACTCACCCAGCACACATGCACACTTGTACACACATGAGACCAAAGCATCCTACCAGAAGCTTCAGAGGCAAAGTTGGCAGCTTGTAAGTGTTACCTGCATCAACAGCTGCAAACACAAGAGGTGTCCCGATCTGCTGGCGTGGTGGATTGGTGTGCGGCCTGTATGGGAATAGATAACAAGCAAGGATATACTTAGACTTTATTGGTCACATCCAGGCATGGAAGATGAGCACAGCGAAGGGAAGAATACTATATGTGTGTGTGTGTGTGCGTGCGTGTGTGTGTGTGTGTGTGTGTTCGGCGATGGGCTTTCCAAAGGTCCAAAGGTGTGTGTGGTGTGTGTGTGTGGTGTGTATGTGTGGTGTGTGTGTGTGTGGTGTGGTGTGGTGTGTGTGTGTGTGGTGTGGTGTGGTGTGTGTGTGTGTAGTACAGTACAGTATGTGCATGTGTGTGCATGTTCATGCGTGTGTTTCTGCGTGGGTGCATGCATGTGTTCATGTTTGTGTGTGTATGTGTGCACGTGTGTGCACCTTTCCAGCACGTCTGATTTCTGTCCATGACCAAGCATGCAAAGCAACCCAGGCAGGCAAATCTTGCATGGTTACCTGCAATGTTACGAACATTCTGAACTCCGTGAACAGCTCAACGCCCATGTTGCTTCCTCCAGAAACATAACTTCGCGACTTTTTAATCAAACTCTAAGGCCCGGAGTTGTTATGGTCAAGAATTTTGGTTCAATGAAACGAAGACAATTCAACACGAGTGTTTGAAGTATGAACATAATATACAAAAGAAATCGACATAGTTTGAGTCTGACGTGGAGTCATTATTGCTTGATTCCTCACAGCTAAATTCACAAGAACCGGCAGTTTTTTTTGGAAATAACAAAGTTTTGTTTCCGGAAGTAGTTAAACACGTCCATCCTATCATAGCACAACGAAACTTTGCTGGTTTATCCAGCATGCCCAGAGTAAAGACAATGTCATTTACTCACCTTGCTTGTCCTTGCCCATCACACATCCAGGGTCGTGCTGTATCATGTACTCCGCCAGCTGCATATGACCATGGTGGCAGGAAAAGTGGATCCTGCGTCCAGAGAACATACAAGCACACAGCATATACAGAAATCATTTCTAAAGACTGGCCACCGTCCACCACTCAATCTGTACAGTTTCCATGCACTATCAGTTCTGCATGGTAAGCGCTCTCAGGGCCTTGGCACATGGTCCAGCCGATTGCCATGGCCTTACTTTATTTCGAAAGAGTTAGCCTACCGAATCTGTGCCAAATAGGGTTTTTCGTCAATCTTTTATATTTTCCGCTCAAGTATCCCATTCGGCTGGACTTGAAGCGCGCCATGTTACTTCCAGCCTCCACCACTCGTGTTGCATGCGCTGCTGCACTAATCTTTTGCATGCAACATTCCAGCCAAGTCTGTACGCCGCGGGGATTCAAAAGTAAATTAGGTACAGGCCAGCATTTTGATTGATTCACAACATGTGCCCTGATAGGTTGCCTATCAACAAGCCACAACTGCCCCCTGCACTCTGTCATGTCATGAGTGCTGGTGTCTCCACGCACACAGTACAGCATGACGCAACACGTGGCCCGATGCAGTGGCAGTAGATTTACTTTCGATGTTTCATCAACCAGCGGCAGGCACACTTACGCTGCAAGACCTTCGGTGCTCAGCTTGACGAAGGAGCCTCCTTTCTTCGCTGCAGACCTGAGCACAACACAAATATCAATGTCACACATGTCATATTTTATCGATAGAACATCTCCCTCTGTAGCATGGGAAACTCAAGCTCGGTCAGCCCGGTGATCGTCATTTCACCACGCAACTAGAGCAGCGCCACGCAAAGCACTGATAGCTCGGAGATACATTGTACCTTTTTTCTACGGTTCAGGTGCACCGATATCACCCGGCGGATACATATGTCATACGGTAGATCAAAAAAATTGAACGGCTAAGTCGACTGGTACTAAATGAAGGGGTAAGCAGCGGCATTCAGCCCTGTACAGCTTTGTCATCACCCACCACACTAGAACTTTGCTCTCCAGGCTTAGTGGACTGGTACTGGTAGAGCCTGTAATGGTACTAATAGTGCTACGGTGAAAGCGTTCAAAACACCACCATTACAATGCTACTGCATCGCCATCGGAGTCTTCACCTAACTGCTCTCACAGTTGGGCAGGAAAGTCTAGGAGTATTGACCATCCAGTGAACACTGCCAGACCATTGTCGCCAGTTGCAGAGCGAAGTCCAGAAGAATCCAGCTAGCCGAAACCTAGGTATATAAAGGTGGTGAAGCCAGGCGCTGGAGGCAACAGAATCGGCGCTTGTGGCAGAGTGCGAGGTGCCTATGCAATGAGTCACAGTTAGCACTGAAGTTCAAAATCGTGCAAATTTCACACATTGTGTGAAAGCACTGGACTCTGGACTACTAGTGTTTCACGCAGTTTCACTCAGCAGGGATCAGGCGCTTGAGAACGCTTGATAGTCGATGATTTCATTCCCGGCACGAAGCCCGCGATCGCGCGAGGCAACCTGGCCCTGTTTGTGTTTCGGCTTCGTCTCCTGGTATTTTAGTACTCCGTAGTAGACCCGGTGGCATTGTTGGCCCGCTGCTATGCGGCCAGCTTGACCTGACCGTGTGGAATATGCTCAGAAACTGAACAGCAGAGACAACACTTTTACAGTAGCCAGTGGATCTGTACATGTAACAGCTATATTACACTGAGGGCCGCCGGTAGAGCATGTATCAAGGCAGCCCTGACCTTCTGGTTAGGGCAGTAGCCCACACACGTACCCTGTGTGTAAGCTGAACTTTAGTCGAATTACTTGCATAATGAAACCCGGCTCACAGGTTCACCGATAATGTACTAGTACTAATACATTATCGGTTCACCTGTGAACCGGGTTTCATTTTGCACATCTGATGCGTTATTTCGAAGTTCAGTACTTGCAAGTAATTCGACTAAAGTTCAGCCATGGTTGGCTTTCAACCCCTCCCCTTTGATTGGCAATTACATGCTATGGGATGTGGAATAAATCAATAACTAAAGTTACAAGACTGGTGAATAGACGACGTGGAGACAATACTTTTAAAATAGCAATAAATAGGATGAATTCTGCGGTCATCACCACACATCAAAAAAGTCATGAAATCGAGTTTGGAAAACCTTCATGACTTTTTCGATGTGTAGTGATGACCCCTGAATTCATCCTATTTATTGCTATGACTGCTACAAGACTGGTACATACTTTAGGCCGGAGAGGTCACCCTTCTCAGCGGCCACCAGGACCCGTTCATCGTACTTGTTGAGCGGCTGCTGCTGCTGACTCGTCTTCCCTGCATCAGCGCTCTGCAAGGCATAGATACATAGGTGAGCACATTATCTAAACACCCAAGCTTGAATCCCTATGCTGTGATAACCATCACCGGGTCTAACTTTTATTATTATTATTTTTATTTCTGCACCTCGTAGCACGTCTTCACATGACATTCAACATCATGCAGGCCGGCCTGCCACATCTCCACTTAACTACAGCGCTGGTCGATGAAATCCAATTGTGCGGGTCGAGTTTGCGCCTTGCACCAGAGTTCACAGGTCTGGGGCTGCATAGCGCCCAGCGTGACATGAACTTGCACGATCGGGTTTCATTGAGCAGGACTTCACACGATGTGGTGACACATGAAATCCAACCTTCTGCACACTAGTGGGATCTGCGACTGCACCATCGGAGCACTACAAGTACTGGGTCATAGAGTGAACAAGGCTTTGCTTTATTCACGACATCGGATTTCATTTGCTACCGCTGCCCACTGTCATTTTGTCAAGCTTCAACGTGCAATGATACTATTTTTTTGGTGTTGGAAATATAGAAGGTCATGGAGATGAGTAATGATTGAAGAACTAACGGTGAACCTCACAGTCACAGTATACCCGATCACTCAGATCGAGATCTGGCAGCCTCGAGTTCAAAGAGTGCGTGAACATGCCGCTATACACTACAGCTAGGTCGCGGATATGGACGGTTCAAGAGACTGACTAAGACTAAAAGTAAGCGACCTACCTGTGCAATGTCAGAGCCGGACGCCTTGGCACGCTTGAAGATCGACCTTCCCGGCATGGCTAACCGCGCAGCTAGCTAGCTGGTCAGGGGCTAACACGTACACTGATTCTTTCCGCTGCCGCTCCTGCTGGTACTGGGTGGTGGTGGTGGTGGTGGTGGTGGCTGTTCCGCCTCTACTGCTGCTGTGGACAGGACGGACGGAGGCCACGATTCGATCACCAATGCGCTGCAAACACGAATAGGTCGAGCAAATTTTGTGTTGCGAGTGCAGCCCGCGGTACTGCGAAGTCCTGGCTGAAGGTTGCAGCACGAAAATTCACAGCGAAAATGAGTTGCAGCTACGTTGTCCACCTCTGCATTATGCCGCTCGTCGCAATCGTTTACGTGCGGCTCCTCCGCTCAATACCCGGTCTTGGAGACGATACAAGTATTTCACTCGCCCATTGTAAAATTTGCTCAGCTCCCGCCAGGCCCACACTCGACTCAGCCAAGCTAGTACTACTACTATAGTAGAGCATCGCAAGTGTATAAATAGTTACCATGGCTACGTCAGACCCACATCAAAGTCAAACTCAAAGAATTTTTGTCAAAGAAAGTAAAAAGTACACAGTCGCGCGTCGAGCCATGATCATGAGTACAATCAATCATGATTGTACTCAAAATAGAGTTTAGCTTTACTTTGATTTTGGATACGATCGAAAGGATCTGAGATGTACTGTAACGCACTACCCTCCCCCCCCCCCCCCCCCCCCCGTCCCGGTAATGATACTACTTACTAATACTAGCTTTTGCAGCAACTCCCGGCATGTTTATAATGACCCAGCAGCACAAGACTCAAGAGTCAAGAAATTTAGATGGGCGTAATAATAATTATGGGCATTTGTAGCAAACATGATTGTTACCTGGTTACCATGGTTACTGTTAGCAGTGATAACGCACTACAGGGACTGACTACCTGAATACGACTTAGTAGTACAGTAACCATGGTAATTCATACACATCCCGTTTGCTTGATTTAGCGCCACACTGACTGAGGCCGCTGAGCAAGGAACCACCAGTGACCAGAACTGTCTGGCGTTACCAACGCGCAGACTGGGACAGACTCCGCCACTTCTTTAGAACAACAGATTGGCAGTCCACTGTCAGTGATGATCCTGATGCAATGTGTATGCACTTGACCCAGAATATTCTGGAAGGAATGCGCCGATACATACCGTCTAAGCAGTTGTGCATGAAACCATCTAACCCCTCTTGGTGGACACCGGAATGCACTGAGGCTGTAGCACAGAAACAAAGAGCATGGAGGAGACTCTGCGCCGACCGGTCAAGTGCCCAGCTGCAAGCCCGTTACAATGTCGCCAAGCACTCGGCTAACCATTGCCTGGCAACTGCCAAGCAGGCATTCACAGCAAGCCTGGCGCAGAAGTTAGCCTTATTATTTATTATTATTTATTCTTCTTTTACTAGGGAATTCCCAACAGGCGTCAGCGCCTTTTTACAGGGAACCCTAGGTATAATTTGATGGATGAGCGAAATTCAGCTGGTGAACTAGACATGCGGCAAGCCGGTGGAAGTGTATTCCACCTGGCAGCGCCCAAATAAGAAATTGCACTAAAGCCATATCGGGTGTTAGCGGGGGGCAGAACAAGAGCAGCAGAGACTTGGCCACGGGTGGTGGCTGCAGTGCGAGCACCATGGGCGCGCAAGGTAAAGCGGTCTCGCAGAAGAGGACTAGCAAGTCCATTCAGGCAGCGGTAAACAAATACATAGGTTTTGAAGTTGAGACGTTTCTCAAGGGCGTACAAGTTAGTATGACTGTATAGAAGAGTGGTGGGAGTCATTCTATCCAACGAAAATATTCTCTTTAATGCTACGCGGCTGGCAGTAAGAAGCTTGTCATATAGGGTTTGTGATAAGCAATGAATATATGCAGTGCTGCCAAACTCAAATGTGGACTGAATGATCGATAAATAGAAAAGTCGTTTGCCAAAAATGCTGATATTCTGCTTTGCATGGACAAATGCTCCGACCTTCCTATTGACAGTTGCACATACTGCATCCACTTGGGTTGAGAAAGACAGATGTTCGTCAACCAGTATTCCTAAGTACCGAGCGTAAGCAGATGGGGCTATGGAAGTGCCCCGGCAGTTGACTGCGGTGCCAGGTGGCAGCTCCTTGCCCGGTCGCCTGAGCAGGACAAACTGAGTCTTGGAAGGGTTTAACACCACTCCAGTCCCTTCTGATCTAGGTAGCGATCCAGAGCGGCAAGGTCAGCACTCAGCTGGGTTGTGATGATCTGGATGGACTTGTGCCTGATATAGAGTGTGATATCATCGGCATAAAGTTGATTCAATGCATGTTGGAAGCACTGTGGTGCATCACGGGTGTAAATGCAAAATAGCAGTGGGCCGAGCACGGAGCCTTGTGGGACGCCTCTTGTGCAAGGGCGGGCCCCACCTACCTCTTGTCCTACTCTTACTCGCTGGACGCGTCTGGTCAGGTAGCTTGCAAACCAAGCAAGTGCAGTGTCAGCAATGCCAAGCATCTTCAACTCGTCAATGAGCTCTTGATGCTTAACTCGGTCAAAAGCTTTGCTCATATCTGCAAACACTATGCCGCAGTACTCGTTGTTATCAAGGGCTTGGAGCCATTCGTCGACCACTAGCGCTAGGCAGTCCTCACACGAGCTGTTGGTACGGTAGGCAAACTGATTGTCAGGCACGTACATGATGTTGTGTAACTTAAAGAATGCAATCAGCTGCTCCAAGACAACTCGTTCTAATATCTTGCTGCATATGGGCAATAATGAGACTGGTCTGTAATTAGTAGAGCTTTCTGCATCGCCTGATTTGAAAACTGGGCTGACTGTGGCATTCTTGAAAATATCTGGTACGCACCCTGTGCTCAGAGATTTATTGATAATATCAGTGAGAGAAACTGCTATGGAATCACGACCATGCTTCAGTACGGCTGGTAAGACATTGTCAGAGCCAGGTGACTTACTTGTGTTTGTTGCTTTGAGCAGTGTGGTGATGTGCGCCACAGTTACGGGTCGAAAATGGGACAGTCGAGCAGCAGTAGTTGGCTGTTGGGTGGCTGGGCGTAAACATATGTCAGCAGGCCGGCTTGGATCGTGCACTATGTTAGCAAATGTCTCTGTCAGACTACTGAGAGATGCAATTGGCTGATTTCTTACTTTCCGCCTGCCAGACAGACTGTTAAGAAGAGCCCACTGACCTCTAGGATTTCGTCGGAGTGCCGAGAACTGGTGCATCAGGAAACGGGATTTCAGTCTCCTACTCAGAAGCGTCCCCTCGCGTCTGACAGAACGATACTGTTGCTTAAGAACCATATTCCCAGGCTGCGAAAGGACTCTTCGATGCAGAGTAGTTCTGCGCTGCAGCAGTTTCCGTAACTCTGGTGTTGCCCACGGTTGAGGCTTAGGTTTGGGACAGAGGGGTAGTCTAACTTGTTTAGATGGAGCATGCGTATCAGTAACAGCAGCGATAGACGTTAGAAGATGGCAAGTTTGACTGTCCAATGTTGAAAATGAGGATGAGTCCTCGAGCATATCATTCAGGTCAGCATTAAACTGAGAGTAGTTGATAGTAGCTATTCCTGGTTTTCTCACAACCTTAGTTCTCTGGGTTGCTGGGGGCTTCCATTCCGGTATTACAATATCAAGGCGGACTAGGTGGTGATCAGTAAGATCTGACATGGGAATGATCGTTGGATTGGGCAATGGAAAGGTAGTGTTCAACAGAGCCAGGTCAAGACACGTGTTTGACGGCGCTCTAGTTGGTGCGTGGACAATGTTCTGCAGCTGGTGCTCTGCACAAAGCTTAAGTAGATGATGATTATGATGTAGAGTCGGTTGTAAGATGTCCGTGTTCAAATCTCCCAGAACTAGCAGGTCAGAGCTGTCCACGAAAATGCCATCCAACTGGGCACTGTACTGCTCCCAGAATTCTGTACCAGAGCTCGGTGGGCGGTAGACTGAACTCACGAGGAGCTTACACGCATCTGGCTCCCGTGCAATGCGAACTGACACAAACAACGACTCCAGATGTGTGTTGGATGCGGGCATGATGAGACGAGCGCGGAGACTAGACATGACGTACAAGCACACACCTCCGCCCCTCAAGTTCCTGTCGTTCCGGTATATCCGATATCCAGGGATGTTCAGCAGGGAATCTGATACTGAGCTGTCTAGCCAGGTTTCATTAATTGACATGATGTGAATTTTATTGGCATGCAGGATATGATGGATTTCATGAACTTTGTTTCGTAGACTGCAGATGTTTAAATGAGCAACTTTGAGGACGGCACGGTTGTCTGGCTGGGGGTTCCCTGATATGTCCTATTGGGCAGACAGCAGATCCTGGATGGCATTGTCAGAGAGAGGTGTCCCTTTGTCATCCAATATGACGTCATAAGGCAGAGAGCACTTGACCTTTTTGGCTCGAACAGTCGATGCGCCAAGCCAGCTGAGTGGGTCTTTTTATTTTTTTCGCGCGAAAGTTTATGTGGTGAACTGTGTTGGTAAAGATGAAGATGTCAGTCAATGAAATTTGCTATATTTCTTGTGTCTAACCAACCCTGTACGGATCGAACTGACGATTCCCGAGTGCGACAAATGTCCTGAAGTCTGCTCCTATTAGCTAGGTATCTAGAAATTTCAACTTGAGTGTCAAGTGAAGACTTTGCCAGTTGCAGACGAGGGAATTCTCGCTTCACGATTTTCCTGGTGTGTGGAGATACGTCGGAATGCCGACCCACCACACCCGACATGATGCTTCGGCCGGAATGCAGGTTGGTGCAGATAATTGCCTAATAATATATGTCTAAGCGTGTATACCTTTCCTTTCGTTGCATGCTTGGTTAATCCGACGGCACGAAATTATAGACATTTCGAAATTAACTTGAATATTATTTGGTCGTTGTATGTCTTAGTATTCCCTGTCAGTTTGTGCCTTTTTGTCGCGCTCGCCGACTGTATATGATCTAGCGACATTGGTACATGGTGGACAGTTAGTCATAACTCGTAACATTTTTGTCCTTATTCTTTTTATCCATGATTACATTGGCTCACCATCCGAGTTTATTTATATATTTTTGATAGGGCAATATGTAATGTACACACACACACACACACACACACACACACACACACACACACACACACACACACACACACACACACACACACACACACACACACACACACACACACACACACACACACACACACACACACACACACACACACACACACACACACACACACACACACACACACACACACACACACACACACACACACACACACACACACACACACACACACACACACACACACACACACACACACACACACACACACACACACACACACACACACATACACACACCACCCACACACCACCACCACACACACAGTGACACACACACCACACGCACACACGCACACACCATCACATTACGACAAAA